GGTAAATCATTTAACTTCTCTGGACCTCAGTTTCCTTAGCTGTAAAATGGGAATGATAATAATAACTCCTTTCTCATCGAGTTGTTGTGAGGATCAAATGAGATTGTAAGTGCTTTGTAAATCTTGAAGTGTGATATAAATGTTAACCATCTGTTTATGTCCTGCACTATTCAATATAAATCTAGCAAGGGTAGAGACACATAGGAGGCACTTACTAAATTTACATAGTAGGCATTTACTAAACTTTTATTCAATTGGATGGAATTGATTCCTAGATCAATTTATGAATCTAATTAATCTCCAAGCCTCAAAAATAGACTTTTCCCATAGCTAACCCTGATTCTGAATGAGGTTCTAATCTGGGTAGTGGAACAGATCAGTTGCTATGGAAATGCCTATGGAGTTAACCAGGCCATCCAATTCCACTTGAGTACTATGTAACATGAGCTAGGAGACTGGGTGTAGCAGAAAGTCAGAGGCCTGAGGACAGACAACTGGGTTTGGATGCTGTCCCTGCTACTTGGATTACCTCAAAGACTATGGACCAGCCCCAACTTCTCTGAGGACACATTTCCTTGTCTATCTGTAAATGTGGGGTTGAAACCTCTCCTGTTTTATCTTTGATACCTTAACAAATTATTGTTCAGTTATTTTCAATATGTCTGACTCTTTGTGACCCCCATTTGTGGTTTTCTTGGCAAAGATGCTATAGCAATTTGCCATTTTGTTCTCCAGTTCATTTTACAGATGAGGAGACTGAGGCAAATAGGGTCAAGTGACTTGCCCACAGCTAGTAACTGTCTGAGGCCAGATTTGAACTTTGGAAGATGAGTCTTCTGGACTGCAGGCCTGGCACTCTATCCACTGTGCCACCTAGCTGCTCTACCTTAACTAGGCAAGAACTCTTTTCCTGATTGAATTAAACAATTGAAATGGAATATTGATAGGACCTGTACACCTCCTTGAATCAATCAGATCCATTATGTGTGAGACTGGGTAATGCTCTAAGCCAAATAGAAATAGATCCCTCAGGTTGCATATCGATTTAGAAACCCTCAAATTAACATTATCTAGGTTGTATTGGTTTTAAGCATTTTTTATTTTGTTAAATAATTCCTGATTACATTTCAATCTGCTTCAGGCCAGCACTTGAAAGTATTGTGGGCTACAGACAGTGGTATTTTACATCTCTGTCCTAATCGATTAGGAAGAAACTATTTCAGAAGGGAGAGCTTCTAAATGTCTGGATTCAAGAGGTTGGAGCAAGCTGGCATTTCTAGCACACCTTTGAGGAATAAAGCTTTCAATGAGCCCTGACAGAAAAAGGAGAAATTGAGGATTCATTGGCTTTACTGGCATCTCAGAGCAGATGGCTAAGAGAAACCTCAAGACCTCAGCATTTTCCTCAACTTCCCCTCCCAATGCCTATCTATCCATAGACACTGTAATATAATCTGCTATTTCATTGAAAAACATTTCAAGAAAAGTTAATTTTGTCTCATCCACAGACCAAAGATCAAATAGGAATAAGTTAGAAATGTAAAGTTAGGCAAAAAATATAACCTCTGACTAATGTTAGAAATTTTCCTAACTGGGAGTTTGAAGTAATTGTGAATTAATTCAGAACTTTTTTTCATTTAAAATAAATTCCCCAAAACCAAAGAGGAAAGAACCAGGTGGGTCTTGGGGGCCATTATTTTGCCCCAGTCTTAAAGGAGCTCATTATTATAACAGGATGTTACACATGAAATAATGGGGGTTGGCCTAGGCGATCTCAGAAATTTTTGCCAGTTCTGAATCCATGGTCCTAATTTGGGTAGAGGAAAGAGAAGCCTTCATTATATTAGGAAAGTGAAAATTAGTTTTGTTTGCAAGCTTTCTATCATTTTTTGGATTCAGGACCAATCAGTAGAGAAGTTTCTCACACTGATATGTCCCTGATCTCTAATTATTAGTTTGGGGTCCTGAGAATCAATAAAACAGGAAGTTAGCCCACCTCTACCAGGGTAGTTTTTTCTTGTTACTGCCATGGCAGATGCAAAGAGAATGGAATATTTTTGCTCAAGGCAAAGATGAAACTAAGATTTCTAGCACCAGGGCAAATTCATCTGGGGATAGAGGGTGTTCAAAAGGTATGATTCCTTTTCTGTGTGGTCTACAGAGAGAGATCATGGGATGTGAAAAGTTGGAGGAGCTTGGAGGTAAATAAAACTGTGAGTCAGGTATTGAACGTCTTGTTGAGGTGTTGGGGAAGGCAGAATGACTCAAAGGTCCTTAGATGACAGCAGTGCTGAGGTTGGTGGGGTCAGAAAGACCTAGGTTCAAAAATTACTTCTGATATTTCTTTTTTTTAATTTTATTTTTTGGCAATTGGGGACTTGCCTAAGGTCATACAGTTACTCTCAAGTGTTTGGTCTGAGGCTGAATTTGAACTCAGGTCCTCCTGACTTCAGGGCTGGTGCTGTATCCACTGCGCCAGCTAGCTGCCCTCTGATATTTTTTGCTTTGTATCATTGAGCAAGTCATTTATGTTATCTCCCTTCAGTTTTCTTTATGTATAAAATGTAGCTAATAATGCCCACAGTAGCTACTTTACAGAAAATGTATGTAAAGTGCTTTGGAAACTGTAATGAGTTACAATAAGATCATAGATTAAGGGCTAGAAGGATCTTCAGAGGCCTTCCTTACCCTAGCCCCTTCATTTTAGAGATAAGAAAACTGAGGCCCAGGGGAATTTAAGTGACTTGGCTAAGGTAACATAGGTAGTAAATGTTACAGGTGTGATACGAACCTGTGTCCTCTGTCTTGGGAGCAAATTCTGTTTCCACTGTGTCAAATACTTTAAACTTGTTCTAGTGCCTTAGGACAAGATGCAAACAAAAGCCTCACTCATCCATTAGAATGTAAGGTCTTTGGAGGCAAGGACTAAATTTTTTGTTTTTGACTTTGTATCCCCAACATCTAACACAGTACCTGGCTTTAGTAGGAATTTAATAAAATGATTAGGGGATTGGATTGGAAAAAAAAAAGAAAGTTAAGATTATGCCACAAACACATATCTTACAAGCAGCTGCTTCTTTGGCCCTGAAACCTGTTGGGATGTGGGAGAAATAAAGTAATGCAGGGCCTTTGACCTTTTTGTAAATACATCTGTCTTCAGAATGAAAAGGAGGGAGGAGGCAGATTCACCCTCATTACTGCTCATCACCCAGTGGTAATTGGATGGTGACCCACTGCAAAAGTGAAAGCCATCAGGTCACCCCTGGCTCCTTCAGCTTGCTGTTGGGGACAAGTTCAGTGGCAGCTACTTCCTGTTTACCCTGCCAGCATTCGCTGAATATTCACCTTTCCTCTGAGGCTATCTCTCCCATACATGCTATGCTTAGTCTCCTTCTATTCCTGAGTTCTCACACATGCCCTTTGCCTGAAAATGCGGCACTCCTCCAGACCCTGCCCATTCTTCAAAGACTAGCAAATAATAGTGATATTAATAATTCTAAGTAACAATGATTAAAAAAACTAACATTCATGTAGCACTTTAAGGTTTGCACAGTGCTTCACTTCTTATCTAATTTGATTCTCTCTACTCTGTGAGGTAGAAGTATCATTATTAACCCCATTTTACAGATGAGGAAATTGAGGCTGAAATAGGTTAAGTGATTTGCCAGGGTCACACAGCAGGATTTGAACCCAGATCTTCCTGATTTCAAGTCCATTGGTCTATTCACTATGCCAGTTAATTGCCTCACACATGCCAGCTTAAATTCCAAGCCATTCTCCCCCTCATCCCTGCCCCCCACAACCACTTAGTGATGGAATTTAAATCCAGATCTTTCTGACTTCAAATCTAGTACTTAACACACTATGCATGCTACCCCCAAACAAAGGAATGATGAAAAATAAGGAATAAATGTACATTTATCCCTCTCTCCATTTCTTTCCCCAACATAAGGCCTCTTTATCTGAACTTCTACAGATCTTCAAGTCACACACACACAATTTATCATATAATTCTATATTATGTATTGTTTGAGAGGTGGTATAATATAGAAAATAAAGAGCTGGCCTCAAAGCCAGAATGACCCAGGTTCAAATCCTGCCTTTGACAGTATAACTGTATAACTCTGGCCAAGTCCCTTAACCTCTCCATGCTCTAGGCAGCTCTCTATGACTATAAGTTGCAGAGAAAGTACTAACTTGCATTGGTTGAATTTCCTTAATTGTGATTTCTCTATACCAGTAAAATCACTGGTCCAGTTCTTTCTTACTAATTACTTTGTGTGCATTAATCTTGACTCCCCAATGACAGTGTAAATTCCTACAAGGCAGAGACCATGTTCTACTTCTCTAATTCTCCACATTACCAGCACATTGTAGATATAATAGGCATTTGATGAATATTTGAGGAATTGGGTAGTTTTTCGATTGAGTAAAAACAATTCTTTTGTGGGCGGGTCCTTATTTTGGCACTTGAAGTCCTTCATAACTTGACCTCTTCCTATCTTTCCAGTTTTCTTACACTTTCCTCTCCTCCGTGCCATCTATCGCTTAGCTATACTGATCTTTCTGTTGCTATCTCCCAGCCTCTACATTGTCTGTCCCCCTCATGCCTAGAACATTGTCCCCCATAAAAGCTTTCCTGGCTTCTTTTTAAGACTCGGCTCAAATCCCATTTTATATAGGAGGGATGTCCCAGTCCTACTCACAGCCAGTCCCTAAGATTAACTTCCATTTTTATTGTATACATATCTTTTATGTACATAGTTATTTGCATATTCTTCCCCTCTATTAGAATGTGAGCTCCCTAAGGCCAGGGACTATGTTTTACCTTTCTTTGTAGCCCCACTGCTTAGGCCAGTGCCTGGCATATACTAACTGCTTAATAAATGTTTACTGACTGAATAGGTGTTCTGATTGGACAGGCAGAAGGAGTTTGGCTCAGTGTAGGAAGCTGTCAGTCCTGTCTTTGACCATCTTTCTCTCTTTGTTGTTTGTTACAGATGCCACCCAGCTGAACAATGCGGTGCCAACCTCCCCTCTCCTCCCACAGATGTCTCACCCCCATTCCTATCCCAGCTTGGGGCAAATCTCCAATCCATATGAACAGCAGCCTCCTGGCAAGGAATTGAACAAATATGCCTCCTTAAAAGCTGTGGGTAAGCCCTGAAAATGACATGTTTGTTTTCTCTTTTGAGTGAATGTGTTGCATGCACAGGTTCATATTCTAAATAAAAAGACAGACTTTCCAGGTGCTTTGAAATAATCCTCTTCAGGTGTTTGGTAACTTTCTTTTCTATACTGTTGATTGAAGCAAATGAGGAGAACACAATCCCAGCTAAGTCAATGAAGAGATTAGCTTTTTTTGGTTACAGGCATGCCCAGAATAATGCTGCCCAGACAAATACCATTTTTTTTTAATTTTTAATGTCATTTTAAGACAATAAAACCATGTCCCACTTTAATGATCTGGATCAAGTACTGGGTACAGTACCTGAAACAGAACAAATGCTTAATAATTGCTTATCGAATTGAATCAAATCAACCTATTTGCTCAGGCTATTATGGTAAGATGATGTTAACATCATTAGTCTTCCTGGCTTAAAAACTCCCATTCCCTGCCTGACTGTTTCTATATCTTGTTCCCTATTGCTCACCTGCTCCCTACCCTAATGACTTCAACTTTCCCCCATGTTTATGGACTAACTGCCCCCATAATGTTTTACCCAAAGTCACATTTTCGTGAAATCAAGTAACGATGTTAGTTAAGGCATGCCTATATCTACTTCTTCTTTGTAGTTCTAGTCTCCTCTCTAGGTGCCTCACTAGGTACTAGGAAATAGTTTTGAAAATTTTTTTCAATACTAGTATGTTTTAACTAGGTGAGCAAATGACTCTATTAACCCAAGAAATCTGATAATTACAAATATTTTTAAAAAAACATTAAATTTCAAAAGTATCCTAGAGTCATCACATATCCATCCCAATTTTTGATGCCTATCATCCTGGATATTAAGAACTGGGACTCAGAAAGATGACCACGTGGCTCTGTGTGATCAAATTCAGGTCACATTCTCTCCTAAGCCTGTCTGCCGTTGTTTCATCGGTTCTCTGTATTCTATTTAATAAAGCAGGAAAAGTAAACCCAGGCATTTTAGAAAAGTTTCCAACTATAATTGAAACAGAAATTTTGTTTTCCAAGTCATTCCTTTTAATCAAGATGTTATACTAAGATATAACTCTTCATCTGCTGTGTTTTAAGATGTACTAAAACAATTAAAAAATCATTGGGGAGCTAAAGTACAAGGTGCCCACACATCCAGAGGAAGAAGCACTCCAGGCTAAGCAAACTAAACTCTAGCTATTAGAAAAGCATCAATTCCTTACCCATTTGGCCATATCTTTTAAAAATGGAAATTTATTCCTATTATAGAAACCTAGAATCTCAGCATTGCAAGAGACCTCAGAGTTCATGAATGCTGCAATTTACCTTCTGTTGGTAACACATTATTCATTCTTCTAAGCTGAGTGAAAAGATTCCTTGAGTGTCTAGAGATTCATGATGATATGCAATTTTAATGATTTAAGAAAACGGTGGAAAAACTGATAAAGAGGAGAAGCTAGAATTCTGTATCATCAACAAAAGCAGTAATACATTTCTCTCCCTAAACTTTATATAAGTTGCTATTGAAATCATTTTTCTATGGCTGGCAGGTTTCAGTATTTTTATGTACCTCCACATTCTAATGTTTTAGGTCTTTCAAAGGACATATTATTACTTCTAACCACAGGAGCAGCACAATTCACAAGGCATTTTATTTTCTTCTTCATGCTTGCTTTAAGGGTCACCAATCAGGCTCTGAAGGGTTATTGATTGAACATGCCTGGCTTAGGTGAAAAGATCCCAGAAAACACCTCTTTGATCTTGAGGAATCCAACTCAGCAAGACACAGCAGAGAATTTTGCTATTTGTTTTCTCTTATAAGAAATAGAGATTATTTTGAAGTCTTGCTCATTTTCCCCTCTAGTTTCTGCTTCACTGCCTTGCAATTCGTCTTGAATGATAAATTTGAGTTAGGGAATGATCTTAAGAGTTTGAATGTAACATAGTTTTCTATGTCTTAATGAGTTTTATTTTTCCCCAGTTGCCTTCATCCCATAGCTTCCTTTGGGGACAATACTGCTTCTGGACATGACCCTTAACCAAATGCAAAGAGAGAGGCAGTAAAGATTGCAACCAGTCATGCTTAACAATCAGCTCTCCCAGGTTCTCATCACTCTTGCCCCATCACTTTAATTTTCCCTCTGTGGTGGGTGACAAGCGTCGGTCCCACTACCTGAAGCAGGGATGTTGTAATTAGTGTGGTCCTTATCTATAGTACCTAGACACCAACCAGAAACATTCAGATGTAGCTGAGTCTCTGAGATTGTGTCAGTTCAATTACCAACTGTTCCCAATAGCTTCTTTCTATCGCTGCTAGAGACTAGTGTATAAAGCTGGAAGTGTAGAAGATAATTTTGGTTTTTCTAAAAGAAAGGGAGTAATTAGTAGCACAGTGTAATTGGTCAAACTTTGGCCAATTGAGAAAGGAATAGGATAGCCATTGACAGATTCTAATGCATGTAGGCTTTACTTTAAATAAATCCCCATCATAAAAGTCTGGATTTATAAAATCTGACAATTTAATTAATGTAGAAAATACAGAATCATTCTCACAATTACTCACTTTATAAAAGGACTCATTGTAGGATCTCTCTATATCAAGAGTTCTTAACATTGCTTTTGTGTCACGATCATTTTTAGCAGTCTGGTGAATCCTGAATCCTTAGAGACACCTTCTCAAAATAATACACACATGCACACACACACACACACACACACACACACACACACACACACACAATCAGCATTGCCCAACTGGGACTGGCCAGTTGGGTCCCTGGTGGGGTGAGGGGGAGAACAAAGCTACTACTACTCACAGATTGTTGTTCATCCTTCTTGCAAGTCAAGACATCAGCCTTCCGATGTCATTGTCCTCTTTGAGACAACTACACACACATATGTATATATGTACATATGTGTGTGTATATATACATATATTATCAATAAAATAATATCATTTATGTAGCACTATAAAGTTTGCAAAGTGCTTTATATATATTGATTCATTTGATCTTCACAACAACCCTGTGAGATAGGTGCTATTATTATTCCCATTTTACAGATGAAGAAATTAAGGCTTAGAAAGTTAAATGCCTTGCCCAGGGTTACACAGCTGGTAAGGCAGGATTTGAACTTAAATCTTTCTGACTCCTGAGTCCAACACTTTATCTATTGCAAATAAATGCTATATTTCAGTTATAGGTTAGTGAAAATAAAGATATATTTTTCCCCTCCAAGTTTGTGGACCCTCAAAATCTGGAGTCTATGCACCTCAGGTTAAAAAACCTCTATCTTAATAATAAACAAAGAACACAGGGTTCTTCTAGGACATTTGAAAGGTAATAGTTAAAAAAATACTTAAATCGTTTCAGAAACACATCTGTTACGTTCAAACAAGGCATTTACTAGTCAAGATAAAGACTTCAGTTAAAAAACCAAAGGTCATTGGTGGGGATCTTGGTCCTAAACAGATTTAGCCATTGGAGTGTTTGCCCCCTCACTTCTGAGATGTCAGCATGGAAGACTGGGCAGCACTTAATCTCTGGGCCATCCATTTCCTCATCTGTAAAGTGAGTGGATTAGACTAGGGAGATAGAGTGGTATAGTGGTTAGAGAGCCGGCCTGGAAACCAGGAAGACTTGACCTGCCTCTGACATGCACTGGCCATGTAACTTTGGACAGGTCACTTAAATCTTCTGTACTCTAGAGCAAGGCTTCTTAAACTTTTTCCACTTGTGACCCCTTTTCATGTTTCTGCAGCGTTTGTTGGCATTGTGTGGCCTGAGGGCATGCACAATGCAAAGTGCACATGCTTTGTGTTCAGAACCAAGGCTGCAGTGAAGTTTCAAGATGCAACCCAGGCAAGCAAGCCCTGCCAGAAACACCTCAGATTCATTACGTGTCTGATTTTGAATTCGTATTTGGTCCTTGTTCCTTCAGAAACATTTTACGATTGCCAAATATTTTTGTGATTCCATATGGGATTGTGACCCACAGTTTAAGAAGTACTGCTCTATATCAATGAAATCACAATTCCTGTCTCTAGACTATTGTTCTTCTCCAGTTTCTTTTCTTTGTGATCTCATTTGGGGTTTTCTTGGCAAAGATACTGGAGTGGTTTGCTTTTCCTTCTCTAGCTCATCTTACAGATGAGGAAACTGAGGCAAACAGGGATAAGTGACTTGCCCAGGGTTACAAAGCTAAGTGTCTGAGTCCAGATTTGAACTCAGGAAGATGAGCCTTCCTGACTTCCTGCACTCTATCCACTGCATCAACTAGCTATGCTATCGCTAGACTGTATGTATCTATGATCCTATAATTTTTTGAGATTTCTTTCAGCTCTAAATTTATGATCTTATGAACTTTCCTTATTTCTTGGACTTCATCAGTCTCCTCATGTCCACACATACAGCTGATCCATTTCTCCACTTAGTCTCCCCCTTTCCCCACCCTGATGATAGCACATTGATTAGATCAAATAGCAATGATTCCTGCCTTATGCATGCATGTTCTTTTGCTCCTGATGACATCATTTCCTGGCTCTGAGTCACTACACGTGTAACAAACCTCGGTTTGTTCCCTCTAATGCCCCGTGATCTCTATTCCAACTAGAGATCATCCCAAGTTAAAAAAAAAAGTCTGTTACCACAATGCAAAACATACAGCCTCAGCCCAGATTCACTTTCCATGCATGAGCAGCCATGTTAACAGTGTTTTATTTTCTTGTTTTGGGCTGTGTCTTAGTCTTCTGAGCCATATTCAACTGTCTAGAGTGAGCAATAATTTAGGTAGAACCAGTGGTAAAATATGATGACTTCAATGATATTACCTGTTGACACTGGGCAAGTCACTAACTTCACTGGGTCTCAGTTTCCTCCTCTGTAAAATGGGGGGGTTGTACTAACTGATTTCTGAGGTCCCTTCTATCTCTAGATCTATGAAGCTATGATTATTTGACTCACACTGCATCCAAATTCATATAATAACAACCATTGTATGATAGAGTTCTGCAGTACTAACTAGGAAAATTAAAACATTTTATTTCATTCCTATTAAGTCCCCATTTTTTCCCCTTCTGTAATCTTTTCTTGAGGCAGTTAGAGTTCTGTCCCACAGTAGAGCATCTATCAATGGAGCCCCTTGCAGTCTGATATGACTAAATCCACAAAAGGGGGATCTTTTTCTATGAAAAAGCATCCCTTGAGGTACATGCTAAATCTATTACCTCTTCTGGCTTCCTGCTGCCCACTCATTTCAAAAGTGTCTGAAACATTTTATCTTTCCCTACCCAAGTTTTCTGATTCTCTTGAGGTCTCAATATCATGACACTGAGTCCTTCCCAATGGTTTATTATCTGAGCACCAAAGCATACTATGTAGTTATTTTATTTTTGGCAAGACTGTCCAATTCTTCCGAATTCACCAGTTTTGCTTTTCTCCTGCTCAAATGGCCATATTCTCTCCTAAACTTGTCTGCCATTGCTAGCTGGTATAGAAGCCAGAGGTAGTCAGTGTTCTGGACAGAAAACAGGGCCCCAGCTCAGAGGTGAGTACTCAGATGAGATACATAGGAACTGCCTCAAAACTAGGGATGGAAAATGCTTGCAAGGCAAAATTCTCTATGTGAGTAATCAAACCCAGAGCCCGACCTGATGCTTCCCCTCCCCACCCCAACTCCCAACACAAGATTTAAAAGATCTTAGTCTAATGACCTCATCCCTATCGGTTTAAGTCATAAATGGATAATGAGCCCATTCTTACTTAATAAATAATGCCTTTTAGTAGGAGGCATATTACCCCCAAAAATATTTTCTTGGGAGGTCTATAATGCTACATAATTAAAAAAAAACATTCCTATAGACTCTTTTAAAAAAAATCCTCTTTCCCTCCCCCCTGCCCCAGAAAACAAAATAAAACATATGTGCAGAGTCACAGAAAATAAATCACCACACTGGCCATGTTCAAAAATGTGTCTCATTCTGCATATTTAGTCCCTTTCCCTTCCATGTCAGGATACATGTAGCCTTCTTCGTCCTTGGTCCTTGACCCTGACTAAAGTGATGGAAAGTCCCTTATGGTACCCTTCATTAGTTGTTATTTTACTCTACATTAATAAAGTGTATTCAAATCTGGCCTCAGACCAGACACTTAACACTTACTAGCTGTGTGACCCTGGGCAAGTCCCTTAACCCCAATTGCTTCAAAAAAAAAACAACTCAAAACATTAATAAAGTGTAAGGAAGTCACCACTCCATACCTAATTGCATTCCCCTGAAACCTGTACAGTGCTGCCCATTTTAAGCCATGGATAAAGCAGCAGAGGGCTCATTTCATTTGGTATACTCTGCAAGAGTATATTCTGTTGTTTCCAGGAGCTGACTGAATGACAATCAAGGTTGTTACTTCCATAAGTGGTCACCAGGCAACAGATTAAAAAACCATCCTTGCCTCAGGATGAATGTCACAGGGGGTGGCCCTCGGTCAGCAGACCAAGATGCTGCTCCTCATCCCCTGGACTTTGACTCAGTTAATCATTTCTTTTAACCTGGCCCTAACTGATGGCTTTTAGGGTACCAAATCCAGACAGTTTCATGAGTTCACCTGAGGGCTTAGGCTCCTTTTTAAAAGGCACTGAAATCTTTTCCTTTCCAGATTTCTAGATCTTCTTGGGCCACCAAGGAAGCTTTGGCAAGCTTTTTTACATCATACTACACCCAGGGGTACCAGGGCGCTTGGCCACTGCCAGATTGCTCTTTGGTGGACAGGGTTTACCTAATTCAATTCAACAGTCCCTTAATAAGTGCTAAACAACATGTGTACAGATAAGAACACACTGATATGGTACAAATATAATGTGATTTCAGAGGGGAGGGTGCTAGAAAGGTGGTTTCTCTGGGGTGTCAAAAGCAGGGGCATTCTTAGGGAAAGGTTCAGGGAAACTTTCATTCAGAAGAGCAACAGGTATATACTGGGGAACTTAGAGAGTAACCTACACTGGGGGATGATAAATAGTGAGGGACAGAAAGTGCTACCTGTAGACACTCTACCTAATAGCTTGGAATCATAGGAAATTTATCAAGTCTTTTTTGGGGAAAGTAACTAGACCCTGGAAAATTGAGGCCCAAGTATATTGTTGTCATACCCACACTTTATTTCCCTTAATCATTCAGGCCTTAGAAACCAAAGCAAAACCCCAAATGATTTTCAGTAGATGGGAGACCCTAAGGACTTAGGCAGAGGAGCAAAGTAAGGCAGGATTTGCCTTTGACACTCTCCCACCTCATTTTTCTACCCTTCTTCCATTTTCTGATCCCTTGTCCGTATGCTGTCTGGAGACCCTTCAATTGGTATAGCTCTTCTAAGAAATTCTTCATACTCCAAAATTATACCTTTTGCCTTTCACAATTAAAATTACCATTCCTTCAGTGTCAATCTGAAATACGTGTTGTCTGATGATCTAATTTAAATTCTCTATACGATGTGAATGACTGATACCTCCCAGGAACAATTACACTTTAAAAGAAGAACTTATAATGAATTTATAATAAGAAGGAGATATGGGAGAGAAATTTGGAGCCACCTTCTTCATGCCCATTATAGGTTATTTCCTCTCCCTCCCCTCCTTGAAAAAATAACATGACTCAGCAACTTGGTATGTCACTTGTGAAAAGTTGCCAACTTTACCCTTTATCAACATCAACAAAGAAAATTGATCAATGCCCAGGTTTCATATTTTAGAACATGAAAACTATGACTCAGTATGTTGCCCTTTTGCCTTAGCTGTCAGAAAACTTTGAAACCAAAGTGACACCCAAGTTCTATGGTTTGCAAAGTCGTATGCCCCAAAGCATCTATTTCTTCCATTTCATTCAGATGATTCTTTATGTTTTGCCCTTAAATGTTTTATCTTGCACTGGGTATAACTCAGCAATCTGCCCAATTCTCCTGAGAAGTAAATAGGATGCCAATCCTAAAACATTAATAATATGTCAAACATTCACACGTGGATTGCTGGTTTGGATCCAAATTCACAGGCCCAATCTTGACCTCCAGGAGTTTACAGTGTAACCCTGGGGTGCTCAGCTATGGTGTCCTGAAGGATTGAGTCATCCCACAGGGATCTGGGGGGCACTTGGATTTGAGGACCTGGTGAGCACTGGGTGGAAGGGGGAAATACAACCAACAGTTGAGCATCTTTTGATTATTATTTTTTTAGGAAGTTGTGATGGTGACTGGGCAGTAGCAACACTTAAGTCACCCAAAGGTACTGTATGGTTTTTCTTGACCCTTTGTTTGGATGTCTCAGAAATTTTTTTTGAAAAGTACAGAAAAGTTCTAGTGTTTGTACCTGTCCAACTGCACGCATGTGTACAGTGTAGTAACAAGTGTGAGTATGTCCAAGTTCACGTGTGTGCATGTGGAACTGTACATCTGTGTATATACCTACCAGCTGGCAAATGTGATCTGTCCGGGCTCACTGAGGCATCAATGATGGGCTGTAATCCCTGATGATTCCTCTGCCCTGGAAACTTCCCAAGGCTCATATTTAAGGAGAGCACATGTAGACAACAAAAAGGAAAACGGGTAAGAAGTCCAAGAAAAAAAAATTGTTTTTCTGACATACTCATACAAGCAAAACAAAGACCGATTAGGAAATGGGATGAAATATCGCCCTTTAAGATATATAGTGCTCATTCATGGTCTAGGTAATCTTTTTTTTTTTCTCTTGGAAATATCAATCCTATCATGGTATGTGAAGGCTTATGCTGTGTAAGGCTCTCTTATTCTGGGATCTGCCATACTCAGGTTCTGGAACAAAGCACTAATGACTAGCCACACTTCCTGTTGAGGTATTCTAAACCTTAAAGGTAAATAACTTGGGGGTTATTGTCATGACTGAATGGTTTTAGATGAATAAAAAAAAATCTATGACGTGTTATTAGCATACCATAAGAATCTTCACGAAGAGAGGCAACAACAGAAAACAACTTTCCTCAAGCTGCAGAAGGTCGAGGTACAACTGGGTGGTTGGTGATCAATGTTGCGAAGTGTTGATGAAGGTTTCTGATAATCTCATATTGAACCTGCGGTCCATGAATGGTTGTTCCTAAATCCACAAGAGGGATGAGACTGGGGTAGAATCTAGAAGGAACCTGAGTAAAGGTATTCTCTTCCTCAGAATGTAGTTGCTGCCTGATTATACACTCCTTGTATCCCTAGTCTTAGCACAATGCCTGGCACATAGTAAGCACTTAACAAATGTTTATTTAATTGAATTGGAGATAGTGTTACATGGTGGTTAGAGTTCTGGACTTGGAAATCAAGAAGACATGAGTTCAAATTCTGTCTCAGACAATTGTGTGAACTTGGATAAGTCACTTAACTCCCCTGACTTTCTACATCTTCATCTGTAAAATGTGATAAAACTACCACCTACCTCACAGGACTGTTGTGAAGATAAAATGAAATGATATTTGCAAAGCACCTGGAAAACTTTAAAGCACTGTGTAAATATGATCTATTATTATTAATATTGTTTTGAGGAAAACACATTTTTTTTATCTTGAGTTAGATAAAAGCTGCCCACATGTCAAAGTACATTTTTAGAAATGAAAACTATTTGGAACATGACAGACCTACTAATTTGAGGCTTTTTTTTTTCTTGTGGAAAACAATGCCATTATGGCAGTTATGACAGGATTTTGATGCAGTCAGTTATCTCCTTTTGTTATAGCCTGCTTTTCTCTAGAAGATTTTAGGAAGCCCTTGAAGATATAGTGGGAATGTTGGTGTGGAAGACAAAATATGGCAGAGCAAAAAGGGCAGTGGATTTGGAGACAGAAGACCAGGGTACATACAAGTCATGCTTACTATCTGTGTGACCTTGATCAAGTCATATTTCCACTCTGGGCTTTATTTTCCTCATTTGTAAAATGAAAGGATGGCATGATGTAGCTGACAAAGATAGGTCTTAGAGTCAGGATTACTCAGATTTGAATCCAACCTGAAACCCTTAATGCCTCTGGAACCTTAGTCAATTGACCTCATAATGAGTTCACATCTGGCTTGGACACTTATTAGCTGTGCAAGACACTTAATCTCTATTGCCTCAGTTTCCTCATCTACTGCACTTACTTACCAAGGTTGTGGTGAGGATAAAATTAGACAGTATTTGTAAAGCATGATGCCTGGCACGTGGTAAGTGCCAAATGAGCGGTAGTTATAATGACGATGATGATGATGATTACTACTACTATTATAACTATTATAATTATTATTATTACCCCAAACAACTCTTTAAGCCTACAAATTGCAAAACCATTGCTCCTCAGTAGGGAAAGTTATCACATTGGGAGTTCCCTTTACTGCTGAAACTATTGCTCAGTTGTTTCAATTTTCTCCTATTCTTTGTGACCCATTTGGAGTTTTCTTGGCAGAGATACCAGAGTGGTTTGCTATTTCCTTCTTCAGCTCATTTTACAGATGAGGAAACCAAGGGAAACAGGGTTATTTGACTTGCCCAGGGTCACAGAGCTAGTGTCTGAAGCCATATTTGACCTCAGGTCAGCACCCTGTCCACTGTGCCACTTAGTTGTTCAGTGAATGAATAGATTGGACTAGATTAGTGGTGTCAGACTCAAATAAAAACAAGATCCACTAAATTGTACATGAGGATCTTTATGGGGTGCATATTGCCTTAGAAAACTATACATGTTTATATATTTCTTTTTTATTAATACATCCGTACATTAAAATTAGATAGGATTTTTATATGGTTTAGAGAACACTCAGAAGTATTGTCAGCTACTTGTGGCCCTTTGGGCTAAATGTTTAACCCATCTAGATTAGATGACCTTTAATTTCCCTTCTTGCCCCAGAACCTATGATCCTTTCGCTTTAAACCAAACCTGAGGAAACTTAACTGTTTGCCTTTTCCACCCAACCACTGTCTTCCTTTAAAAAAAAAGTATTTATTTTATTTTTAATCTATGAAATAAAACAATTTGATAGAATAGTAGAATTAAAAAAGATGATTGCACATGAAACTGCAAATATATTATGTATAATTTATTATTCCTTTTAAATATATAATGAAGTTATCATGTAACTTTCTTTTTATTTTCTCTTTTTCTTCTCTCCCTCACCCACCCTAGAGATGGCTACCATTAGGCACAAATATGTGTGTGTGTGTCTGTGTGTGTGTGTATACACACACACAGACACACACACACATATACATACACACACACACACACACATATATATATATACATAAAATCATTCTATACATACTTCTTTTTTGTTGTTGTTTTTGTTTTGTTTTGTTTTAGTAAGGCAATTGGGGTTAAGTGACTTGCCCAGGGTCACACAGCCAGTAAGTGTCAAGTGTTTGGTCTGAGGCCAGATTTGAAGTCAGGTCCTCCTGACTTCAGGGCTCTATCCACTGCGCCACCTAGCTGCCCCAACTGCACCACCTAGCTGCCCCCATGCTTCTGTTTATCAGTTTTTTCTCTGGATGTGGATAGCGTCTGCCTTCATAGATCCTTTGTAGTCATTTTGGATATTTATAATAGTCAGAATGATTTAGTTGCTCAAAGTTATGATTAAAACAATATTGTTGTTACTGTATACAGTGTTGTCTTAGTTATGCTTATTTTGCTCTTCATTATTTCATGCAAGTCTATCCACGTTTTTCTAAAAACCAACTGGGGTTTTGCCCCAGGTGCTGATATGGGTAGGACCATGTCCCCTTGTAAAGTATCTTAGCTGTCTATGACCCTGCTAGGTATTCTGGCTTCCACTCCATTCAAGATTCTTATGAAGGTGGTAGTCTTTTTCTGGCCTGATATTTTACCAGTGTAGACTGCCTCCAATGCACCATCTGACCTAGAGACTTGTACCAGGTAAGATACTTGGTATAGTGCAAGATAATGTTATCTGCCACCTCCTACCATTATAAACAGCTTTATGCCTCCCATAGTTTGTATCATTCTCTATTCTCTTTTTTTTGGTGGTAACTATAGAAACCCTCCCTTACTGTATCTTCCATCTCCTGGTGCTTAATGAAACCTACAATTCTCCTGAAGACAACATATCTCTCGGCACTTGATCTAAGGCTAGCTGCACCTTCTCTCACACACAGGACTCAGAGGAAGAGTTGGCACACATCTTGCTCTCTCCTCTGTCACTTTCAGACCCTCCTTTTACTACTTTCATTCAACAACCACCTCTTACCATCCTGTTTAAATTTGTGCTACTGTCATCAGAACATTTCCTCTCCCTCACAATAATTTAGTAGCTGGCTTACAGTCTTCTGTAAGACCCTTCTATAAGACCCCAGCCCCTTGCTTTATTCCGAGTTTCTCAGTCTCTCCACCTCCCATGACCTCTCTCTCTTTAGTCTACTTCCATTATGCAAAAGACCCTTGATATGTTAAACCTCTACTCAACTGAATTTGCCCCAGGTCTAGAATTCCTAATTATATACATGCTGAGAATAACACACTTGGGTATTAACATTTCTTGGGAATCTACATGAAAAGGCTCAGATCCCTAAACCACTTCATAGGATCAGGCATCATTGATTTAAAACTAGAATGGACCTCCTCAGAGTCCATTGAATACAACTCCCTCATTTTATCGGAAACCAAGGAAACTGAGGCACAGAGTAATTAAGCAACTTACCCAGGCTTATACAGCTAGTAAATATCTGAGACCAGATTTGAACTTAATTCTTGACTCTAAGTCCTGTGCCCTATTCACCATGCTACTTTTTTTTTTTATTCAGGGTAGGTAGAAATGGGAAAGGAGTGAGGAATTGGGGCTGAGATAGAGGATTTAAAAATTAGGGTTGAAGGTAGTAGGGTGAGCCACATAGAGTCTAGGACCCATTGCTGCGTCTCCATCTGTCTACTGTTCTTATCCCTGGCTCTGAGAACAGCAGAGGCTAGAGAACAGGCAACTAGAAGCAGATGATTTCTGAGACCATGTCTGTGTAACACTCAAATGTTGTCTTAAATCAGACAAAAATGACCTCAGTTTAATTCTGGTTGTCTAAGCAAGATGAATAAACTGGATGTCTATTTGGTTTTTCTGAGTTTTTCCACTTTTACCTGTTTTTTTTGATATACCATAGATGGAACTTGAGGAAGACATTTAACTAGAGTGAGGAGGCAGCTTTTAGGCAGACAGACAGGCAGTAACAAACAGTTATTAAGCTCTTATTTTGTGCCAGGTGGCAATTAATGCTTTTGTCTCATGTAG